GGCTGTTCTGACCTTGCCAGCGCAGGGCCTCTGCTGGGAGCTGTCGGGGTCGCAGAAGCATCGTGGTGCAGCGGAGCAGCGCGTACAAAAATGAACTAGAAAAGATACCAGCAAACGCATCCGAAGACAGGCCCGTCCCTGGGCTCCCACCTTAGCCTCCAGACCAAGAGGCGTCCATCTGGGGCTGTGGTTGGGATCAATCCCGTGAACGTGGGCACATCTGGCACCAGGACATCTTGCGCATCTAGGAGCAGCAGCTCCTTCCACTCGACCACGAAACGCTCTAATAGTGCGTGGAGGCAGCGCCGCGGACTTCGCCAATTCGAAAGACTTAACAGAGCCCGCTTGGCAGCCGGCAAAGGAGTGGCGCGCAGCCCTGGGCTCCGTCCGACCTGGCTGCCGCTACCTTCATTGCTCTCACCGCAGCCACAGCCACAGGCGGGGGCTCTGGGGTCGGGCAGCTCAGCAGGACGCAACAGCACCAGGAGGGGACGCTCGTGTCAGTGGCTGGGGGCAAGGGAGGCAAAACCACCTGCACAGCAGTGGCAGCAGTGGGGTGGCAATTGCCTGCACTTCAGTGGCAGCAGGACAGGAGAGGTTTGCGCAGCAGGGGGAATCACCTGCATGACTGCGGTGGTGGTGGCAGGGATGGGGGGGGAAATAAAATGATCCTGCTCCCATGACAGGAGGAGTGCGCATACAGGGAACCTGTGCAGCTCCCACCACATGCAGGCCATGCGGTATATGGCCCCTGCCTGCTCCGAAGTTGGATAGCCCAGTTCTAGCAAAAAGTGAGTGTAAGAAAAATTAACTAGAGAAGGTACCAACAAACGAATCCAAAGAAAAGGGCTGCAAACAGGATCTAGCAATCCAGAGATCCAAAACTGCCATCTCCAAACCTGCTCAGCCGCTGTCTAAACCTGGAGATACCTGAACTCACAACACACTTTCCCATTTTATGTGAAAGCGCCCCACGTGTCTGATTTTTCAGCTTCTCTACACATGCAGAACCCTGAGCACATAGCTCCCGCTTAACCTGGGATCCAGAAACTAGGGTAGTAGTACTGGAAGCCTCTGGGAGGCCTTCACAGTATACCTAGCATCCTGACAGGATCAGGCCCCTTACAAAAAGCAGTTGTAGCCATTTCAAACATGGAAGAGCCTAGTGGTTAAAGCAGTTGTCCAGGAAGTGGAAGATGTGGGTTATACCCATGGTTTTCATCCTTTTTTCATTTGCAGACCCTAAAACATTTTGCATGGAGGTGCAGACCCCTTTGAATTGTGATTGTAGGTATTCACATACTTTTGATTGATCAGTCATTTTTTTGAGGACACCTTAGACATGGTCTGTGGATCTCCAGGGGTCCACAGATGACAGGCTGAAACTGCTGGGTTATACCAGCTGCTTCCAACCCCTTCAGTGAACCCTGGTCAGTCTTCTCAAAGAACAGATGCAGGCGCTGACCCACAGGCTTTTGAACCACAGAAGACGCCTCTCCGCAGCTGTGAGTCAGCTAAGCTCCAGAGAGGGACAGTTCAGATGCTCTTAAGATTAGTGTTTCCTAGTGGCCAGCCAAGATGGCTGAGCCTTCAGATCATCTTTTTGAGGCACCTGACTGCCCATCCGTTGCACAGGATGCCTCAGTGCTTAACTCCAGCTTTTGGATTGTTCTGCGAACCAAGTATTTAAAAGGTAGATCATGTCTACACATGCCCCTGGCTGCACACTTGGTACTACATTTAGTACTTTAGTACTGTAGTGAGCATGTTTGTTATTGCCCTGAAATAAAGTGGTTTTCTGGTGGCGTGCTGTTGGGTTGACAATAGTTTAGATTGTTGGGAGGTGTTGGCTTTGCAGCTGAGTGCGGGGCGTGGCCTGTGGCCTGGCGGTGCCGCTGCCCGCAGGGCGGGGTGGTGGCTGGGCCTTTGCTTGTGTCGAGTGGTCGTTTTGACTGTGTTGACCGTTTTCTGAATAAAATACAGCGAGTGGATCTGTGTCTGTGCTGAAAGGTCAGCTACAACAAAAAACGGGATAGGACAGGGAAGCCATTGTTCTAAGTACAGTGATCGTGTCCTTAAAAAGTATCTACCGCTGCAGGATCTTGCTGGCCTATCATAGTGTTACTGTTGCTTGGCTTTTAGCTTTTAAAAAGTGCTAATTCAGCTTGATAAAAATGTGCTGTTATAGAGATCTATAAAGCGCCGCCCGGGTATTGCTTTTGTTAACCCTGTGGTCTTACCTTGTTATAAAAAATATAAAAGATCGCCCCACCCTTTAGGGGGGGCCATTTTGCCTCTTTGCTGGTTTAATGCTCATTGCTCGAGCAAATATACAGCAGTAAACCTTTACCCGTGGTTGTCTGATTCCTAGACAGCTAGACAATAAACCCCAGGGAGTTTTCTCCCACCACAGTACTAAAGCTTTAGCAAGTACTAAATGACTGCACAGTACCCACCGATACAGGGCAGTCCCCACAGCACATAGTTATTTTTAGATGCTCTGTCACCATAGTGATGAGCTACACCAATGTAGCTCGTTGCTACAGTGGCGCAGCAGCTGCACCACAGTTTTTGTGCGCCGACACTGCATCGCTGTAGCAATGAGCTGTCACCGTACCTCATCGCTATGGTGACATAGCGTCTTGTGTAGGTGCGTCCACAAGGTAGTGCTGCTATGCCTCGGTTCTTTACTGGATCTAGCCTGAAGTTACTATGCTCAGTATATCCATTCCCTTACTGCCATCCCCACCCAGTCACCATTAATTTAATAAAGATATGAGATTCCTGTAGCCACTATAATCTATGTATGAACAAAAAGTATATATACAATAGTCTGCATATTACAGGGAGGTGAAAGCCCCTCCAGAGTTAGGGTTCACATACCTTCAAATTCTTTGTTAGAAAAATCAGTTAGGGTTGGAAATTACTAGATTTACTTAAAAGACAAGAGAGACTGAAATGATGCATCTGTCATTTGTCTTCTGTGCCATAGCTCAAAACAAGCTTATTACTGCTTCTTCAAAACATTTTAAGGAGTTAAGTCTCCTTGACATTTAACACACTTGTTGCATTCAAAGGAAATATGCACTTCTTTAAATAAAAGATAAGAACATTTACGTAGTGAGCTGGCAGTATAAGATTCATAGTTAACTTAATTTTTAATTTATTTGCTTTGAAGTGCTTGCACTAACTTTAAACAGTTTTGTGGGGTTTTACAACATGATTTTGATTTTATACAGTCCCTTTCAAAATGCTTGTGTATTAAATATTTTACTATGAATCTTACCCTTCTCTTCCCTGTGGCTTGCTAGAAGAAAATACGCATTCCAAAGTGGCTGTTGTTAGTACAACTATAAGGATGCTTTGTAGCAAACTGGAAGATTCATTTTAGATTACTTCATGAACTTTACAGGAAATACAAAATCTGTGCCTCACATCTCAAGCTGTATCAAATATTTTGTCAAGTCTCCACCATAGCCTTCACCTCCCCTTCCCCCACCCAGCAAAACCTTAAAAGTCCATAGATTGCTATTTATGTAGTTCTTAATTATGACTCACCTTTAGTAAAATTAGCCTTCTACTGTTAGAATAAGCTTGAACACTCAGACAGAATCAATGCAAATTTTGACTTTTTTCATTTAATATTTCAGTGTGAAAATACTAGAGAAAAGTGTATCTGTTGACCGACCTCAGTTCTGAAAAACCAAAGGGCTTTTTGAATGTCATAGACTGTTCTGCCCTACAGAAATTTTACATGCATGAAGAACACTGTCTAGAATCAGGACTGATTGCTCTCTCCTTGTGTATACACAGAGTATATATACACACAGACACACACAGACTTACACACATATATATGAGTTCACATATCCTGAGCTGACAAAGCAGTTTCACTGCAATCACAACCATTTAGAGGTGTACTTCTGCTAATACCATTCCAGGTACACTGGGACAACAATTGCAATATAAATAGTACACTGGAGCTTTTCTTGTTAACTTCAACAAGCCCTTTTCCCTCCAAGACATACACCAACTTAAGCAGGGCAGTGGCCTGGTGCAGGTCTGCGTTCTCCGACAAATCCAGTGAAAATTGATAATTCTGCCTTGCATTATCTGGATACAGTTTGTAATCTCATAATTTTCTCTCTTTTATATACCACCAGTCTGCATGGTGCCTCCATGGAAAACTGGCAGACACTAATTTTTAGAAGCATCTAATTGCTGAGACAAAAAATATTACATAAAAACCGCATAACCCAAGCACAGATTTAACACATTTCAGTCAGTTCCCATTTCAGCTCCTGACCTTAGTTCTGAATTCCCTTTGAAGTTTCAGAAGGAGCTTTCACCAGCTCCAAAACAAGATTTTCATTTTTATTTTTAAAAAAAACCCCAACATTCTGCTGTTTAGGTGAGGCATTTGCTTCATTTCTGTGAAAGCGATGCCCTCCAGTACACATACTGGATGCTGAAAGGTGGCACTTGTCCAGGTCTTGTACTGACAAGAGACCCAAATTTGCCAGACAACAGAAAGAGCTTGAATGAAGCTCATTAGATAGTGCAGGAAGGGAGAGTCCCCTCTCTGTATAGACTTATCTTGCCCCTAGATCAGCATGATCTAGTTTGTC